CAGCATCCCCAGCCCCAGTCTTAGCCCTACTCAAATCCCTCCCTCTCTGTGGGGGCCTCAATCCCCACCCTACTCCCCAATTTACCTGCTGTAGCTGCTGTCCAGGCTGCCTAAGGCCATGTGTGTGTACATCCACATAGTGCACCCTGCCTCACTGCCCTCCTCCCATTCTCTGCCAGCCTGCAGAGGGCTCATTGCAAAAGTGCAAAATCCACAGGTTTCTCCAGTAAAACGAGAAATCTGTGCTTGCCTCTGGTAAAAGGTGAAATCCGTGGCTTATTCCATTTTTCCGTAGGAAACGGAAAACCCAGATCCCTGATTATAATACTGCACTTAATGCACCACACCCAAGTTGAGTTCCTTTTCATTATCAACTATTTCCTGCCCTACAGGTAACTTTGATCCTTTCTTATGGTTCTTTTTTTGACTGTGTAAGTCAGGCTGTGCTTCATCATTATCTATTCTTTATGCTTTTTGAAAGGTTTAATGAGAACTAGGTGAATCATGTCTGTTCTTTAATCTTGTATACTAATGCAAGTGATGTATACTAATAGTTAAGCGTGCTTTTCTATTTAGAAGTCCATTAAAGTGTTCATACTAAATTCTATAATTAAGGTATGTTAATTTAAATAATGGAAAGGTAGTTTTTGAATGTCTTTGGGTAAAGTCAGGGTAATATAGCTGTTCGTGCAATAAAAGATCACCCAGAACCTCTAATCTTAAAGAGCAAATTGCTTTCTAGACTAAAAAAGAAATGTTGTCAGTTTCTTTCCAACAAGACAGGGAAGAAGAAATTAAGAAATTTTTTTATTATTATTATTAGTGTAAATTATCAGAGTTTAGAAGAAATGCAACCACTGCATTGTGTGTGTGCGTGCCTATAAATGAAACGCTCAACATTTACTTGTGCAGTTGTTCCTCCGCCCGTCGCAGATTGGTGGAGGGGTGTCATCACTAGCTCCTGATCGACTAGGAGGTGAAAGCTGCAGTTTTACATATGGTGCAGTTTTTGCCTCCTGGCTGGTCGTCAGCAGGGCCACTGGGCAGCAGGAGGCACAAACTGTGCCATATTTAAAATGACTGGTTTTGCCTTCCTGCCAATTGGGAGCAAGCAGCACCAGGGGGGAGGGGTGGGGGTGCACAGGGGAAACTATGATTACAGGAGCTGCCACACAGCGTATTTCTGCCACAGTTTTGGTAGGTCCCTACCTATTTATTTACTGGATTACCTATTGTTTCTTTAAAGGATTAGCACATTTACTTAAATATAATAAATTAAATCATCCATCTGTTTTATCTAAGTGAATGTTAAACAGTCTCAAAACCAAAACAATAATAAAAATAACTAAACTTGCATTAAAACTGGTTCTATCAGGGTTAAATACAGTACAGTACATGCACATTGCTTACAAGGCCATGTTTTCAAAATCCTGGAGAAATTTATAAGCCTACTAGCATACCCTGGTTGCAAGTAGACTACCCATGTCAGACCAAAGGCACACATGCTTTGTTCTCTGGTGCTGTTTTTCTTTTTTTATGATCTTTCTGAAATCTTTGCAATAGATTTCCAGTTTTCACCTGGGTACAGAACTTTGCAAACAGCAGTTGTTCTGCTGTCGGTAAGATGCTGTTCCTTTGCAGTATTCTCTTTTAGGAAGTAACTTTCTTTGGAGAGACATACCCAGCAAGCATGGACCTTGTATCTAAG